AGTACTTTGGACAGCCCTGGTCTAGAGCATCGTAACAGGCTTGACTCTGTGTAACCATACACCGTGGCCATTAATTATTTACTATTGCAACTATTGAATCCTAGTGTTGGTTGGTTTAAAAATATATTTAATATATTAAATATGTATAATCATATCATTATACATACTAGGGATGACGAGGGTGAAATATAGTGAGTTTTTTTTTTTCATTTTTTTTTTTATTTTATATTAATTTTATTATTCATTCACCTCAAGCAATTGTCCAAACATTACATTTCCATTAACATACAGTGATGCTAAGTAAATGGCATTATTGTGCTTAGTACTTCACTTTAATTCCAGTAATCTTTCACATCTGATAATAGCAGCAGGAAACAAAAAAAAAAATAAATAAATAAATAAAAGTAATTTTATGCTACAATAACAAAATTAATTTACCATCAATGGGAAAGTAGCTTGTCGCTCCAAAAGCTTTTAGAATGAAAGATACATTTTTGCACAAAAAAAAAATTTTTTTTTTTTGCTTGGTTCTTTTCATGCGAAGAAGATACACGACAATAGTTCTCATTCATTTTGATTTTGAGTTTTGGTTTTTATGCTTTACAGTAGTTACTGTCCTGGTCCTGCTCCTGCTCCTACTCCTGCTACTACTACTTGCAAATTGTTTAAATAAAAATTGGCAAGAATGTTTTATTGTTCGCATAAAAGATTTTTTTATCTTTTTCTTCAATTTTGAATTAAAATTCGGTTTTTTTTTTTGAGATGCATGCATTTCAGATACTTTTTATGTATTTGCTTTCGATTTGAATTCGTCGCATTTCTTTGAAATTCAAGCAAATTCGACTCATAGCATGTTCAAATACAATTTACAAAAAACAAAAAAAAAACAAAAAAAAAAATACCAAAAAAAAAAGTACGTATGTTGTCCAAATTTCTTTACTAACACTTTTGGGATCTTACAGTGCATCTCAAATCTCATTGTTGAGATTTCCATCTTTTAAAATACTAGTATTGTTGCTTTTCTTTTTACTTTTATTTTATTTTAATTTGTTTTTCTTTTTTTTTCTATCTTTAAGTGGTATGTATATATCTCTGATGCGCGTTTAACGCATACAATGGAGAGGGTAGAGTATGGCGGGGACTCCAGTGATATGCTGTATGGCTGACTGCATTGCAGTGGGGCGTGCACGCTTGATGTCTCGACAAGATTAGATTAGTTTCCATTTTAGAAATTTATTAATCGAGCGTTTGAAACATTCAAATGAAATTTTTTATGTTTCATTTGAAATTAAAGTTTTATGAATGAAATAATTTCAAAATTAAATTAACTATAAATAATCCCAGACAAAGGTCTTAGAATACCAGAAGGCGAATTCAGTTAACGTAAGACATATTAAAGTTATTACAATTTCTTTCTCTTAGCATCGTTGGTTAATATTTGTGGATGTGATTGTGATGTCACTATTGTAAGGTACAATGAACTTTTAAAATTGTACATAAAAATATTATAGTAAAAAGAGTTTTTTTTATTTCAGTTTCCTTTAGAAATATATAAATCTGAATTACAAAAATAAATTTAAAAGAGTTCACTTATTTGACTGACTGTAAATATTATAATGATTATATATATTGTCTCTGTTATTCCCTCAGATTTAATGTCAAGTTTTATCATCATATATTGGTTAGAGTTACAACAAAAAATTCAGAAGAGATCTCTTATTTGACTGATTGTAAATATCATTATTATGGACGTGTGCGAGTTAGGCTAAGTTGATGCAAAACCAAATGGGAGATTTTTTGGGATTTTTTGCGCTGCACAAATTTAGCCATTTATCAACACGTATCGATACATCACTACATTATCGGCACAGCTTAGAATTTCCCTCATATAATAAGGAACTGAACTGCTAGGTACTTCGCCCTTTAAATATCATTATTTTAACTTTATCATATAGATATTCTTTCAAATTTAATATCAAGATATTGTCATCATGTTCTTGTTGTTCTAACTGCTTTGAAGCTGAAGATAAAACACATGAAGAAGATGATTAAACAAAACAAACGAAGTAAAATAGCAAGAGTGAGAGAGAATAAGATTAAGTGAAGTGGCGTTACAGCTTCAGATTAGCTTTAATGTTTCGTACAACACCTTTACAGTTTTCTCTATCATTTTCGGCTGTTTTTCAATTCAATATATTTAGCCTTTATAAATCTAATACAATGTTTACACCGCTTACTTAGTAAGTTACTTAAGTAATTTTAAGATTTTGTCGTTTCCATTGACATAAGTTACTTATTACATGCGAAACAGTGGTGCCAAACTTCGTTACTTTTGCATATTTCTAAATATCCGTGACTTTTCGAGTAACGTTACTCAATAATACGTTACTGAAGTTTACATGCTTTTTTCGGCAATAAAAGGAATTTTTTAAAGCATATATATTAATTATAATATATTATAGATATAATAAATTATAATAATTATTTTAGTTAATTGTTTGATCCGCATATTTTGCATTTAGCTTTTCACCTCCTACCGGTTTCAAATGAATCCAAATTTCTTTGTTTTATATTAATGTTTTTAAACATTATTAATGAATTTGATAGCGAATAAAAATTTTGTTCAAAATAAAACAGTTATTATTAGACTGCGAAAACAATTCCTTAAAAGTAATCATTACCAAGTACTCGAAAGAGTAGTTATAACAAATACTACTCATTCGTTACTCCGGTATTTCTTGAGTAACGAATACAAAGTAACGGATAATTTCATTTTTGGCGCTACTAATGCGAAAGAGTATTTCTGTGTAAGAAAATTTTTTGAAAATTCTAAGAGAGCTATTTTTTTTTTAATAAACTTCACATAATAATATATTACACAAAAAATTAAATATATAATTGATATATTATATCATATAAAAACAAAGATTTTAATTAATGCTTACTTCCTCACTGCATTTGTTTATGGCTCAGCTGCTGTTTTTTTTCACATTCCACAAAAATAACATATGACAAATATTCCAAATTCCGCTAATTTCCCTTGTAGGAAATTTATTTTTAAGACATTTTGCATTCGACATTTTTGGTCTAATTTTGATTACTTTATTCTTAAGTAATAGTACATTCACACAGTCTCATTTAGGCACTTGTTCATTTATATTAATGAGTGAACGTCGTTCACATTGTAATGAGTTCATTTACGCAGCTGACAGAATTTTAATAAAGTTTTACAAATTTTTAAATTTTGAGGTTATTCAGCAACCTGTTTTTTTAATAATGGTTTTTATATATTTTTTTATCTGGCTATAGATCACTTTTTGTAAAAATAAAACTCAACGTTTGTTTAATATTTTTTTAATATATTCTATATTTCGATTCTCTTTGATAGTCATCATCAGGATCAGTATCTAACACCTGGTCACCCGGTTCTTTTAATAATGACGCGGGCATCCTTTACGACACATTTTCCACCAGTGGGTACAAATTCAAACTTTTTTTAGTCGGAGCACTTTCACTCATTCTGTCATTCTACATAATATTCAGCATTCAGTTAATTACCTACCCTCACCTTAACTTCATCAACACTTAAATCAAAGCCCATACGAGGTTTCATGTAATTAAAAGCAACGATAAAGGTTTCCTGGAATTATTCTACATCCAAACAAATTAGCTTCACATATTGGTTTTTTGTTTTTGTTGGTGTTGTTTTTCTTGTTGTTGGGGTCAATAATTTATTAAATGCCTTAAATTTACTATTTTATGAAATAATTTCAATTAAGAAACACAATTCCTGAACGTACGCATGAATGATGCGTTTGTACATAAAGCACTTAATGCGAATGTTATTTAATTTCTTTTAGCTCTTTCATTTGCTCTATCCATTTTTTTTTGTATTTTGGGTTATTTTTCTTCTTTTTTTTGGCTTTTTGTTATTGTTAAAAGCCAAGTTAAACATTGGCAGCAATTTTACAATAAAAAAAACACTTGTGCTCGTTCAGTTCGTTTCTGCCCTCCAACGATATGTGTATGTACATATATCAAACGATACTCTTTTGCGTGTGTGTGTGTGTGCTTAATGTGTAGGAATATATGTGTGTTGTGTTGTTGCTGCTATATTGAAGAAGAAATCATTTTGATCATACATTCTGAATTGCTTAATGTTAAACTGTATTGTTTTTGTTATTGCTGTTGCTGGAGCTGACGTTGACGCTGACGTTGATGCTGCTGGTATATTGTTTCTGTGTTTATTTATTTTTTTTTTTTTTTTGCTACTGTTAGCTCCTGACAATGTGGTCGTTGTTGTTGTTATTATTATTTTAACTTTTTGCCGTTTATTGGTCATGGCGCATACAATATAATCACATCAGTTTACTTTTCATGATTTTTATTTGGTATGTTGGTTGGTTGGTTGGTTGGTTGGTGCTTCTTCATCTTTTCCCCTTCTCTAGCTTCTCTGTTCTGTTCTGTTCTGTTCGCATTGCTTCTGTACCCGTTCCTGAAATAGCTTTTAACATTAAGAAAGAAAAGCAGCCTTTCAGTGCTTGAAGCAGAGTACGTACGCCTGAATCTGAATCTTTCAATTGTCGACTTTTTGGCGACTTTGCAAAATATCTCATGCATTTTATATTGTAACTAAGAGTAGCAATTGTACGATACTTGTACGATGTAATGTCAGTTTATCATATTGTTGTTATAATAGTGTATAATATGAAAAAAAAAAATTAGGATATTACAAAACAAACAAAAAAAAAATTTTTAAATAATAAAAGTATGTGAAGAAATAAACACATACCATATAAAATTATAAAGTTATATTTAAATTTGTTTATACGTAAATATACACATATAATATAGGTATATATATGTAATATACACATAGAAATCTTAAGAGCCGGGGGGTGCATTTAATTTTTTTTATTAATTATAATTTCTTAGTAAAATTTCTCTTCGTACAATTTTGCAATCACTTAACTTATTCTGTGCTTCTTCTTCTTTTTTAGGTCCAGCAACTGTTCAAATGGTTTCTCAAAACCGACCCCCACCAATGCCGGTACCCGTACCAGTGCCACAGGGTCAGGTAGTGCAACCATATGTCAATGAGAACGGTACCTTTACACACGTTGTGCTTTCGCCACAACAGTATCAGCAACTACATGCGGGACAAGGACATATACATACGCCATTTGTAAGTTTTGTTTTCAATTAAATTTTATCCATATTCTAATTGACTTTTTTCTTATTTTTGTTTTTATTTTTGTTTTTCTTATTATACATGCTTTTTTTAACTTCTTAAAATATAATAAGCTTTTTATTTGGTCATTCTTTGCTTTTTGATTAATGCCTTAGACCAACCTACAGCTGTTAGGATTGTAGAAAATTTTTGGATTTATTTTTTTTTTTTGTTTTTTTAATTAATTTGCTTTTGTTATTATTTTAAGTTGATTACAATTTCTACAATTTTGTAGAAAAATGGTAAAAAGAATTTCTCAAGTGAGTAATCAACACGTAATTCGAAAGTTCTTCTAACTATATACTATTTTTTTTGTGTGTGCATGTGTGTGTGTGTTACTGTATGTGTATTAGTTGGGTTGAGTTGAGTTGAGTTGTTACTTTTGTTGTGTGTGTGTGTGTTGGTGTGTAATATATGTAATGTATAATACTGGTTGGCTAGAGCATTTGTTTAATATTTATGACCCTTAAAGTAACTCAAGTGTAACTTTTTGTTGGTGGTATTTTTCTTTAGCATTTAAGCACTTACAAACTATTTAAATTATTATGAAAATGTAATTATTGTCACGCCAAAGTTAGGCTTCATAAATAATTTATTCTTTAATTAATAGGCAAAACCGTTTGTTTACTTTAGCTATCGTTGTTGTTGTTTTTAATTACAATTTATTATCGCCTAACGATATTAGGTAATATAAATAAGAAACTGTATTGAATTGTAGTAAGTAAAGTAATATAAGTAATTCAACAAAAAAAAAAAAATTAATAAATTAAAGAGAACTTCAAAAAACTTCTGGTATTCGATTTTCTTAATTAGAAACCAAGGAACTCATGTTATGTTATAGCCTACTCACATGGAATCTAGGTTAAATTGAGTTTCAATTAGTGCTTCAAAGTGTTTTAGCATTATGCTGTTTTTACTGCTTGAGTATATTTGAATTCGAACATTTTAAATCACAAATACGACATCAAATTTTAGTAATACAACTTATCATAATCGATACTACAACTACTACGGTCCAGGGTCTTGGCCCCCTTTAATAGTTCTTCAACAAAACAACAAAGTACAATCTCAACAACACCATCGGTACTACAAGTAGTATCCGCTCGTAAACTTCTTTAATAGTTCTCTTATAATTATAACTCATAATTATCACCATCGGTACTACAACCGGTATCCGAACATGGACTAGAAGTTCACTTATATTGTCTTGAACGTCCAACTTTCGCTGAATTTTAAAGAGAAAAAATTACAAGGCTATATTTAGTAAATAAGAGAGTAAATGAGGTGAATATATCCACCGGTGATGAATCCTAATTTGTGAATGTTTTTAAAATTGTCAATCAAAAGAGTAGATATAAATATTGTGACTATTAAGTAGCGCTCAGGTTGTCAGAGCAGCGGCCATTCACCAATATGCATATAGCTCAACTAAAAGCGTGCATACAGTTATATATTTTATTAAAGGCATTTGATGGAAGATAAGATACTAACTTTTAGTTACAATACTCACCCTTTATTTTTATTATTATCTTTAATGAGATGTTAAGCAATGGAAAGACTAAGTCGTCAGTGTGAAACTTCAACCCATTAAAACCATTCTGATATCCCACGGTGAGTCCTTTTGGGAACATCGATTTGATATTTCGTCAATAGGCTGTCAAGAGATAAATCCCAAGCGTCTTTTTTTTTTGCTGTTATTAAGTCTATCGACTACATTTTTCAAACTGTGTGTTTTTAAATACCACCATTGCTCTTGAGTTACTGCAGCTCCTCTTATGGACACGTTCCTGCTGGTGGTATATTCTATAGTTACCCTAGATCATACCACCGTTGGGTATTCTGTAGTCACCGTAGATCATGCCACCATTGTATATTCTATAGTCACTCTAGATCATGCCACTGTTGGGTGTTCTGTAGTTACCCTAGAACATGTCACCGTTGGGTGTTCTGTAGTCACCCTAGATTATACCATCGTTGGGTAATTTAAAGTCACTCTAGATGATGCCGTTGGGTATTTTATAGTCATATATTATGCATGGCACCGTTGGGTGTTTTATAGTCACCCTAGGTCATGTCACCATTGATTACATGTTAGAAAATCGTTTGTTCAATCTTTCTAATCTTATAATTTTTTGTAATATTTTAAATTTTAAACGAAGTTTAGTTAATCAGCTTTTGCTGTTAATCAACTATTTAATTAAAAAAAAAAATATTTTTCAATTCTTAACTTTGTTTATACAAAAATATAATATGAAAAATTAATCTCGAAAATTTTTTAGAAATATGAAGAAATTTCCCTCATAGAACTGCAATGTGTATCTCAAAATAATTCAGAATATTTTTTTTTTTGTAAATTTATTTTTTAGTTCTTTGAAAAACTTTTTTTTCTACATTTATATAGCTTTGTTTAATATATTTTTATAAAATTTACGAGCAATTTTTTAAATTAATTTATTGCAATTAATGTATTCGCGCATGCATAAAGATAAAAGCTAATGTCTGGAACACTGGAGAACAATTGCGAAAGTATTTTACTATTGAACATGTGTCCAAAATTATAATTTTCAAACACAATTTTGTTTGCTATTTAAAATTTTTTAAATTTGTTTATAATTATTGTTTACAGTTAAATTATGAAAATTAATTTTTAATAATTTTTTGTGAAAATAAAGATAGTATATGTAGGCCGATTTTTTAAGAGATATATATAGACTTTGAAACTAAAATAAAACAACGTTACTTTGAATAAATAATTCAAATAATTTTTTGCCCGATACATGATTTTATGGCATAAATAATGAAAATAATTTCGGTGAGTTGAGCTTTATGAAAATATCTTAGAAACTACACTTTGAAGCCTCAATTTTTCTCATGTTTTTTCGAATATGTAAGACAATATCTCACCTAAACACCTCCTAAAATTTACGAGGAATTTGGAATCAAAAAGATTTTCTTGTTTAATCAAGAGACTACGAACGTCTTCTACTTTATCTATGTACCTTGTATGGAAAGTGAATGGTCTAGTTTCGATGTGGATAAAAAGCGAATATTACACATCGTACTTGGTGCTACAAGTCGCTGAGTGTGTTAAAGAATGGGGCCACCAAAAACCTTAACCGAATTCTGACCAAGCCTAGGCATAGAAACAACAGGTATTCTGGTGTCCTTTCTTCAAGAATTGGTAGACATGCATTGCAGGATACACCACAGGGTAGGCCAAGTCTAGCTTCATGCCGTCCTTTGGTCCAGTGTCCTGTAAAGACAGATATTTACCTAGATACCTCTGATTTGCTACTGTGTATCAAGTAAGAGGTTCTGCATTTGAAATAGATTGCCCAAGTATCCCTTGACCTGACTTCTGAGGTAGTACAGGCCCACTCACTATTAGCCTGTCTAAAAAAGATGTTAGTTAACCTGTCACTGTAGCTGGCAGGGAAAGCGATTGAAATAGGAGTATCCGTAGAAGAAACGCTCAGTCCAGCAAGTTCATTTGCACGTTAATATCCTACTATATCAGAATGCTCATGAACCCAAACTAGAGTTAACCTCTCACTTAGTGCGTTGATAAATTCTCTACATTCTTGTAATAATCTGGATTTTATATAGACCGCTGATAATACTTTAATAGCCATCTGACTGTCAGTAAAACAATATAGATTTCTTTTCCGCGAAAGTACATGTTTAAAGTAAAGTGCACATGCTCCAAGTATAGCGAAGATTTCTGCTTAAAATATTGAAGTGCAATCGGAGAGATGGTAAGAACCAATATGAACTGGGTTTTTCATTAGTGGTATTTAGCTTAACCATTTTTTAGTGCCTTTCTTTGTTATAACTCAAACCTTTTGATTAAACGGAAAGGGTTTACCCTTTCCCTTTTTAGTATTTAGTCCCCTCATCTTTCTTCCTCTACTCAAATTTCGTCATACCACAGACAGATTATCACTAACGTGGGATTCCAAAAAATTTCTCAAAATTTCAAAGATATTCTCATAGTTGCATTTTGTTAATTGAATTTTTTTTTTTTTTTTTGCAACCCACATACATGCAAGTCTCGCTGGAAATACCATAGGCTAAGACTATGTTAAACACTTGACTAGACCGACATGCAAGTGTCGGTCTGGGTGTGTTCACGTTCGTTCGTTGGTTCGTTGGTTCGATGGCTCGTTCGCAGTAATTCCGATTCATCAAAAGTGAAATAAATTTTGCTACGGTTTGTGAACAAAATGAAAGTACATTTTCTGTTTTCTGTTTCAATTGTTGTTGTGACTGTTCTTCTTCTTCTAGTTGTTGCTTGCCTGAGTGCCTGTTGCTTGTAACTGTTGGTGGTATTGTTGTTGATTGATTGTGTTAACAATCAAATTAACATTGTTATTATCTTGTTTGCATTTTTAAATGGATGAAAAAAATTAAAATATTTTTTCCTTCGCATTTTGGTTAAAAACTCGTTAATCTAACTTTTTTTTTTTGTTTTTTTTTTCCTTTTTTTTTTTATTTTTTTTTACACATTTTTTTTCCACTTTAAGTTCATTTTGTTTGCTACAAGTTATACTAGTGCCATTCATCTCTACAACTCATCACCGTCTCAACTTTTTTTCATCACTTCCCAACTATTCTTCTCCAGAGTTGCGTTTTCTTTGCAATATTTTTTTTTGTTTTTTTTTTGGCAATATTTTTTTTTTTTGTTTTTATTTTTTAGTTCATAAAGTTGCTAAAATTTAAATATTTTTATTGTATGTTAATTTTGGTTTGAAAAATATTTGTTTTGTTTTGTTTTTAATCAAATTAATAAGAGTAACTACCATTGAAAAATTAAAAACATAAAAAAATCCAATTTTATTATGCAAGACTGCGTCACTTTCGAAAAATTGTGCGCTCTTCCAAGTGCTCAGAAAAAAAAACGTTTACCACCTGAGAAACCTTCATGCAAGAAGGGGTCGCCGAACCAGGCTTTATACATTTTAGTGCTCTACTTTTAATTCAACTTGGCTAAAATCATGAAATTCATTTTGAAAATAAAACAATGAAAAATTTCAAATAAAAACTTTAAAATGAAATGGAAGAAAATTTCAGTTGACGGTTTTCAATTTTTTTAATATTTTTAATTTTTATTGTTTCAAAAAACAAAAAAAAATATGTAGAAAATTCCATAGAAATATGCAAATTGAAATGTTAATATTCCTCATTAACGTGGATCTATTGAACCACATTTTTTTAGTTTTAATCTTCATGACCTGTTTATACTCGTATTGTTGAACTTGCTATAATTTTTAATTACTTCCTCCTTTAATACCTATGTACCTATAATATTTACTCTAGAGCCATACATATGGTATCTTAAACTAAAAGCTTCTGCGGCTTAGACTTAAGCTTTTGTGTGACACATTCTTTAATTCCTTAAGCGATATTTTCAACATTAGAATTGGTCAGATATTTGTTTATTAATCTTAATTCTGGGTCAAGACCTCCAATCGCTAATTGAATTTAAAAACTAGAACTCTAAAAAAACTAGAACACTCTCACCATTATGAGCCCTTATCACACCATGCTTTTAGTATATTGCCGACATCTATATATCTGTGTTATTCATCAAAATTCACAACATAAATAATCTAGTCAATTCATATATCTACATTTCGACAACGCCATCATGAGCCGCTGCTCCACGCATAGAAAAAGGTAATCCGCATAACACCGTCGGTACCCCTAAGCGTCATTGGAAATACGAGAAATGTTGGTTTAAAACCGCTTAGCGAAAATTTAGAAGAATTCAAACATTCTTTCATTTCACTTACCTACCTACCTTGATATAGAGCTGAAGACAAATGAAATAATAGACGGTTAGTAGAGTATGCTCAGTTGGCTTATAAGCTTTTAATGACTTTATAAAGTCCTCCAAAATAATTCATAATTAACCGATAGTATAAACAAAATATGCGACTTTGTTCCATCGCTTAATGCTATTACAGCGTCGGATAGCTATGGACGACTTCGCACAAATCATTTAATTATATTTTATTAAGTGATTTTCTTCCTCTAAGTTTTCCACTTAATACTATGAGTATTAATCGTTCAATAATCGGTACTTAAGTGTTTTTTGTCCCGGTTGGCTTCTAAAGCACCCTTCAGCATTTTTTGTGTGGAATGCTGGTTTAACCTGTTATATATTGATTACTTTAAGGTTGCTTGGTCCAAATTTTGTGCTAAATTCTATTCTCTTCTCCACTATTTTGATATCATCTTTATCTTTCATCTTTATAACAACACAGTCTGGATTATTATTATTAATAAACAGGATTAGTATAAATATTATTAAATATATTGTATTCATTGAGGTCTCTAGTCGGAACATAAAATTGAGAATTTCTGGAAAATTGTACATATTTTAATTCATTATGCTTTATGCTGTCTTCTCGCAATGAAGCATCACTCCAATATTTGTATAGATCGTCCTGGCCGCTGGTTGCCTTCTGAACTCCAATATACATTATTCATACTATAGACATTAGAACTCTGGGCAAATAATGAATCATAAATGATGAGCAATAATATATGAAATACTCTATGTTACCCACATACTGGAGCCCTAACATATTGATTTCGTGATGTTACGCATAACGGCTATGTCATGCACACCTCTGTTATACCGTGTAATGACTCCGTTTAGTGATCGGAGAGAACTACTACTCTTTATTTGTGTGAGAAATTTCACCAGATTATTATGTTTTTAACCTAACATTGCTACTTTGTAAGTTTCCACTTTGAACCACAATCTTCTATGGACGGTATCCATAAAATCCACCAAAGCACCTAACGAAGCAATTCGCAATTTGCAACAAAGAAAATTTGTTTTGAAACTGCAGTTGTCCTAGCAAAGTTTTCACTAGACAAGTTACCAGTTATTTCTGCAGAGCTGTCGCAGATAATTGGATTTAGACTTACAGCTGTCCTAACAAAGTTTTCACTAGATAAGTTATCAGCTTATTCATCTGCTACTGGACTAAAGTCACCAGGAAAGAGTTACTTGTAAAGATGCTTATCTTTGAAATCCTTTCATCTGTTTTTAAATCCCAGCGGATTACAACAACAACAAAACCCAAGACATAGTACACAAAGTGACCAGGAAACCGCAGAGAAAAGCTTTTAGACCTATAGTTGACCTAGCAGTTATCATTAGCTAAGTTATCGGCCAATTGATTTCTTACTGTAGCACAGTGATCGGGAACCTATATAAAATTCAGTTTATTACTTTTCGCAACAGTTTATGTTAATATGAATAAATACAAGCATATACCCGGAAGGCCAAAAAAAACGGTGTTTTGACTATAAGAAAAACATTTGCCCGGTGTTGACTAAATATTGATATTTTCTGCAAAATAACTATGTATGTATATTTTATGATACATCTTTTTTCGTGCATTAACAAATATATGTGATTTTCATATATTATTTACTAAACTTTTTATATATAAACGCAATAACTCGTCTTTTTTTTGCGTAGTATATTTGCGTTCAGAGATAGCCTTTTATTCCCATGTACGACTGTCAAAGTTTGCTAACAGTTTGAGGGTTATTGAGCAGCCGCTGTATAAAAAATTGAAACAGCTGTTTATTTGTAGGTTTTTTTTGTGAAAAAGGGTAAGAGAAAATTAAGTTCATATGCCAATAAATTTGTTTAAGAAATAAACAATAAACAATATAAAAATTTGTATATGAAATGAGAGAAATAAAATATCAACGATCTAAAATCTAAAAAAAAATCAAACAAAATGAAATACGAGTAGCGCCAATAACATTGAGATAAGAATGAAGCCACATAACAAATTCAAATTATCACAACAAAAAAGTAAAATTATCAGAATAAAGAAATAAAAACTAAAAGACAGAGGAGGCAATAATAAATTAGAGGAACCAAATGTTGACGTGGTACTTTATTTCAAATAATAAAAAAATAACAACAGAAGAAGCCGCGTCGCATGCAGAATACTTTGGCATTTCTTGAATTAATTTATTAAAAATTGATTTGCTTAAGAAATGGCAGATTCAAAAGATCCTAGTTTAGTTTCCAACACAGACAATAAACAAGACAACGAAGCTACGGGGTCTATAATAATAAATGTATTTAAAAATGAAATATTTTACTAACTTTACACACAATAAATAGTTGAAAATTTGTTATAGTTTATTTAATATAATTTTTTGATTTCTGCATTTTGTAGTTGACTACGAATGGCACATCACATTTCTTTTCCGCATTACCCGCTGGCTATCCTCCCAATGCCGGTGGAGCACCAACTCATTATCATGCCATGCCTGGCGGTCATTTGCCACCACAACCACCGCCGCAACCGCAACCGCAGCCACAGCCCAAGCAACAACCGCAGCAGCAGCCACAACAAGCACCGTTGCCACCACCGCAACAACAAGCGGCACCACCGCAACAGCTGTCCCATTCGCCGCACTCGCCGTCACCACCATCGAACAGCTATCACAAAGATGAGCGCAGCCAACGTCAGCACACAAAACTTCTAAGAAAATTGGAAAAGCAACGCGAATTTAGTAAGTCACAATCATCAATATATACGAAAAAAAACTATTAATAAATAATATTATTATTTCATATTAGATTCCGGTATGTCTACACCAGCACATTCGCCATCGCCACGCAGAAATGATCAGAATGGCCACTATAATAATCACTCGTCTAATACTAATAACAATAATGTAAATCATCCAGTGCAAACTATGGCTACAACTAACTCAACAGCTCAAGTGGCCACAAACAATGGTAGCAACAATAACAGTCACAATCATCATGCCAATCATAATCAGCATCATCACGTGCAACAGCAGCAGCAACAGCAGCAGCAACAGCAGCAGCAACAACAGCAGCAGCACCAACACCATCAAATGCAGCAGCAATATGTTAATAACCATCATAATAACAATACGCGTCGCTCCTCAAACCAGCGGAACAATACCGCTGCGCCAGTGCAACATATGAGCGGCAATAATGCTGGTGGCTTTAATGTTGCTAATGTTGCAAATGTTGCAAATGTTGCTGGGACTTCTGAAGAAGTTGAAGAAATCGTAAGTGTAGCTGAAGATGAGGCTGATTATCAAGCCACAATCATAGAACAATTGTCAACAATAAAAAAGCCGGAGGTAAGACGCTACTTACATACAATATATATATATATATATTGATTTCACTTTTTTATTATACTCCTTGCCTCACAAATAGGTTATTGATATCACATCACGTTCTGCTAAAATCATTTGGGAAAGTCCTACAATATCGGAGCCATCAGTTATAACAAATATCCGTGATTTGCGTTATACTGTATTGCTCAGTGATCGTGCTAAGGAATCCAAGTATAAAAGTCTCTATAAAGGTGATTCGTATGATTGTATAGTGCAAGACTTGCAACCTGGTCAGGAGTATCTTGTGCGTTTGCAAGTAAGTCAGCTCTTAAGCACAAACTCATTTTTCGTTTTTCGTTTTTCTTACTATATTGAATTACTTTCCACTTTACTTACAGGTTCACTATGAAAAATTGCAAGGCTCTGTCTCTGAACCGACTGAATTTGCAGTCCCACCGTGTGAGCCTGATCAACCCACTCCACCAAAGCTAGTGATGCGCACAAAAAATTCATTACATTTGCGTTGGACAAATCCAATGTGCAATGGTTCACCAATTCAACACTATTTGCTTGAGTATGATGAAGGCCGTACTGGCATGCCAGCCTCTTCGCGTGCAGTGCGTCAACAATGCGGACAATTGCATTTTGTTGAAGTTGTTAAAACCAAAGGAAAACATTATATCCTGACCAAATTGCAGCCATCGACTATATATAATTTTCGCTTGGCAGCTATTAATGAAGTTGGTTCCTCTTTGTATTCATATATTTGCTCATATACAACAGCCGGCAATCCGCCGTCTGCACCTAAGCCACCACAACTGCAGTCAGCAACTTCGAACTCATTGCGTTTATCATGGGATCGTCGTCAACAGGAATGTGATTTTCTGTTACAAATGTTAAATCGTGAATCTGGTCATGGTTACTTGGCAATGTATAATGGGCCAGAATGTTTTTATGAGTGTTGTAAACTGCAACGTGCCACCGCCTATCATTTTCGTTTGCGTATCGAAAATGAAGCAGGTTTATCACCTTGGTCAAATGAAATTACCTATAGAACAGCACCTGAACGTCCAGGTAAACCTGGTAAACCACATGTTAAAGGCAAAATACATGGTACCTACTTTAAAGTGCGCTGGGATCCACCATTAGATACTGGTGGTGCTGACATTTTACGTTATTTCCTCGAAATCACCTCAGGTGCAAAATATGAACGTGTTTATACGGGCTCCGAAGCGGAAGCTACTTGTGATCGTTTGCATCCTGGCACTACATACCAGTTGCGTGCTTCGTGCGAAGGTCCAGCAGGTGTAAGTCCTTTCTCCGAAGTCGCACATATAACTTCTGAAGCTATTGTACCTGCTGCACCACCACCGCCGTACTATGATAATTCCCCAGGTCCATTTGCTGTTGTACTACGTCTTGCCAAACCTGACTACAATGGTGGCGCACCAGTGCTAGAATATGAGGTGCAACTACGTCGACCAACAGATACGCAAGATGATAAAAAAGATAAAACTGAACAACCGGCCGTTGTATATCGCGGCAAAGATGGCCATTGTGTTGTAAAAGATTTGCGTCCAGGCGTCGCTTATGAAGTACAATCGCGCGCTATAAATCGCATTGGTGCAGGCGCTTGGTCTGCTTGGATGGGATTCTCTGCTGCTGCAGCGGCACCCAACATACCAGATGCTCCTAAAGTAACAATTAAATCAGCAACTCATGTTCTTGTTAGTTGGAAGGAGCCTGAATGCAATGGCGCAAAAGTTTCCGAATATCATTTGGAAAGTGCAGCTGTTGATGTAAACGCTGAAACTGATGATGAATCACCATCATCAGCATTTCAATCATGTTATAATGGATCCGTGAATAGTGCTGATCTACGTAATTTGCTTCCACATACTTCATACTACTTTCGCGTTAATGCGAGCAATCCCGCAGGCGACAGTAATTGGTCACCAATGGTTAATACCAAAACTCCAGCTGCTGTTCCTGCCGCTCCACAAATCAAAGACTACGAATTTACCGCCAACGAAGTGTCACTCACTTGGTCAGAACCACAATGCAATGGCTCGCCCATAATCGCATACAACATTGAATACGTCGACCGCTCGATTACCACAACTGACAATGCCACCGAATATACAATACCCAATTTAACGCCTGAAACAACATACAAGTTCCGTGTGCAGGCTGTAAATGCAGTTGGCGTTGGACCATTTTCCGCTTATGCCAAATTGACTACACTGCCTCCGCCGCCTGCTCCGCCATCGCTTGATTGCACTGGTGTTGGTCACAATTTCATAAAACTAAAGTGGGGCGATGGACGCAATCTGGACTTTACCAAATTTTATGTTGAAATGTATGTGCAACGCGCCAAAGAATTCCAAGCTGTTTATTCAGGCACAAATTGCATGTGTAAGGTGAACAAATTGCAGGAACGTACCGACTACACATTCCGTATATGCGCTGGTAACGATCGCGCTGGCATTGGTGAGTATTCGCAGGAGTACGTATTCACAACGACAGCTACCTTACCGAGCAGCATAAAAGCACCTCGTGTTGCATTTGAAGGCAGCGTTTGCCTGTTGGGCACTGGTGGTACTGGCAATACTAATTTCATACCTTCTGGCCTATTGCCAGAAACGCCTACAAGTTTTATTGCTGGTCTGGGCAATCTTTCGCTCGGTGTGCCGCTAACACTCGAATGGCAAAATTCGAAGAATTCATTCAGTGATAAGGTGGAGTATGTCTTGCAGTATGCCATTGGCAAGGATGGTGATTTTAAACAGGTAATATTTGTGGATTATACTTTTTCAATGTTCTATAAACTCCTTTTGTTTTTTTCTTTTTTTTTGTTTATTTTTTTGATTCTTATAGATTTATCGTGGTAGCGAAACAAAGTTTACTATTGAAAATTTAGAACCCGGCACGTCCTATCAGTTTCGCGTATGTCCAATACGTCTAACTAATGCTGATAAAGATTTGCCGGGGCAATATACTACTGCATTCCGATATCAAGTGCCACAATTGCCATCGATCGAGGACATCGATGGTAATCTACTGAATACCGCTGTCGGTGTTTTCGGTGCCACCAATTCTAGCAGCGCCAATGCCTGTGGGTCGGCTGCTTTTCATGGACATTCCCATCACCCACATCATCACGGTGGCCACCATGCACATCATCCGCACAATCATTCGCATCACAATCATCACAATAGTCGGCAGCATAATGGACAAAATTCCAGTTCAACTCGACAACATCGTTCCATTAGTGCTTCTGCAGCAGCTAATAACAATAACAATGGTAGCGGCAACAATTCCCTTGCAATTGGTCTTATTCCGATTGGTTCTGCAATGGCAAATGAGTTATCAGCCAACTTTGCTAGCTGTGATGATCCACATCACCACCACCACCATCATCACCATCAGTTCCACGGTGCAACTGGTGGTAGCGACAGTACTGATGTTCCACATTCAACAACAACTGCCTCATTGCTCGCTGTTACTGCCAACACACTATTGGCCAACAATTCACTACTAACACAGGCCAATGCGGCAAACCATGCTCAAAACGGTGCTATTCGTCGCTTCCTTGTCAAGCTAACATCGCTATATACGAACCGTAAACGCTTCACCGATCAAGAAAAGGCTGTCATCTTTATGGTTTCATTTTTATTCGTTACATTCTTATTTGCAACTTTAGTTAAAATGTTTATGTCCTAAATATTTAGCAAAAAAAAAACAACAACAACAATAATAATAACACCACTACAACAACAATATAAATATTAAAACAACAACAAAAATCTATAACAGAACTATGAACTATTCCATGCGCTCCATGAAGGTTCTTTGCGGCACAAAGATTTCCGAACATTCTCAAAACTTTTTTTAAATCATTTTAAAAGCTTTTAAACTTTTTCACTTATACTCTTACATTTACAATTGATTTATAATTAAAAATCTGTTATATTAAAATTCATATTAAAGATATTCAAAATATTTATCAAAAATGTAAATCATGTGCGTTAACTTATTGAATTGGAAGAGAATTCATTTATCTGAAACTACGATTATCCAAACTATTGTTTTTATAATTATTTTTTTTGTGTTGTTAATTGCAATTATTTTATTTTTATATGGTATTTAATTATTTCCTATATATATATTCATTTGTTTCTATAAAATATTTACAAAGTTTATGTTAAGAACTATTAATATATTTTTTTTTTTACTTTCTATACTTTCATTTAAAAATGTTTTGTTTATATTACATAGCTTTCAATGCCTTTATTTTATTAATTTACTTATTATTTGTATTTATTTCTTTTAATAATTTTTATTATATAATTTATTTTTAATTTTTTTCACATTGCTTATTTTTAAAATAAAAAAAAATTCTTACTTTAATTCCTTTAAAATTTATTTCTTTTAGTCTTTTTTTGAACTTTGTTTATTTCTTTTTGATTTTTTTTTTATTTATCGTAGTGTTTTTAATTATTTATTAACTTTGTTAATAATTATAATTCTTTAAAATTTTTATTAATATTTTCAGGGTTTTCTTTATTAATTTTTTTTAGTTTTACATTTTTTGTTTTAAATTATATATGTATATTTTTATTTATATATATATTTTTATTTATATATATATTTTTATTTATATATATATTTTTATTTATATAATATATTTTTATTATATATATATTTTATTAATATATATTTTTATTATATATATATTTTATTTATATATATATTATTTATAAATATATATTTATTTAATAAATTTTTTTATATATATATCATTTTTAATTTATATATTAATTTTTATTGAATATAATATTTTATTTATATATAATTTTATTTATATATATTATAATGTTAATATTATAGAGTAGTAGTTTTCAAGTGTAAGTATATAGTATCTTTCATTATATAGTAGAGTAGTTCGCATTAGTTTATTTTATTTATATAGAGTATCAAGTAGCCTTATTTATATATATATTTTATTATATAATATATTTTTATTTATATATATAGATTCTAGTGTTCATCGATAATATAGAAACGGTAGATTTATTTATACTATATTTTTTATTTATATATATAGATGTCTTTATTTATATATATATGCGCTTTATTTATTATATATTTTTATTTATATATTTTTTTTATTTATATATATGTTTATTTATATATATATTTTTATTCGTTCATATACTTTTATTTATACATATATTTTTATTTATACATGTATGTATTATAGTTTATTTGTATATTCTTATTTATTAATAATTAATACATATATTTTTATTAAATATATTTTTTTATTTATATATATATTTTTATTCATACATATATTTTTATTTATATACATATTTTTATTTATATATATATATTTATTCATATATATATATTTATTTATATATATATTTTTATTTATATATATACTTTTATTTATATATAAACTTTTATTTACATATTTTTTATTATATATTATTTTATTTATTTATTATTCTTTTTTATATTTTTTTTTAATTATAGTATTTTTTTTTATTACATTTTTATGTATGTCTATTTTTACTTACATATTATTATATTTATTTTATATATATTTTATTGTTATATATTTTTTATTATTATTATATTTTTTATATATTATTTTATTTATTATATTATTTTTATTTTTATTATTTTTTATATATATTATTTTATTTATTTTATTTTTCTTATATTATTTTTATTTTAATTATTTTTATTATTATATATTATTTTTTTTCTTTTTTATATTTAATTTTAGTATTTTATTTATATATCATTTTTATGTATGTACAATTCTTACTTACTATATTATATTTATTTTTATTATATCTTTGATTTCTATATATATATATTTTATTATATTTTGATCTATATATTATATATTATATATAGTAAATATATGATATTACATATATATATTTATATTAATAAATATTTATATATACATAATTATATGTAATAAATATTGATATATATATATATTATTTTATTTTAATTATATGATATATACATATAATTTAATTATAATACTATATTAATATAATATATAATATAGTACATATATATATATATATATAATATATACATATGATATATTTGAATTTGCACTTGTATTAATAGTGCTTTGTTCACTTAAACTTTTTTTAATTTTTATTAATTATTTATTAGAATATTTGAATTTAAAATCAGTTTAATTGCTACCTCTTGATGTGCCTTATTTATTCTGTACATTGGCCATGGAATTTAGTTTTCTACCTGCAAAAACATTATAAGCCAGTGATTAACCCAACATCTTTGAAATCTCTCATCGATGCTTATGGATTTTAATTTGTTTTTGTTTTATTTGTTCTTTAAATGCAAAAAACATTCGTCACCATATAGCGTACATATGTCACATGGTATGTTCACAAAATATAAATGAGTAAGTTCCGGAGATGGATCTATGTTTTACTATAAGAATCGTATATTATCATCTTAAATCAGAAATGTGATGCACTATTTGATATTCAAAGAAATTCGAGTTAAATTCTTGTCATTTAAAATAAATTCAGATCTTCGTCCATACTTTCGATTTTACGAGTCCCTAATGGAAAATTCTATTACAAAATAAAAATTAAAAAGGTTTTGAGATGGTATTGAAATGTGCTACAAGAATATAACATACTAAAAATATTTTAACTAAGTTTCAAAGTTTATAGCTAAATATTTATATTCCAACTGCAAGAGTTCTAAACTTAAATCGTCTATATATTTCCATATGTCTCAAAGAATAAATTTTAAGTGATTTTAGTTATGAATTTTTATATGAACTTTTTACTATAGTTTTTTTATGATATATCACATACTATATATATATGTATACATACTCGTATAAATATATGTATCTTTATAAATTGTAATAGTTATATGTGTTTGTATGCGTATTAAAAAATGTAACTAATAAACATTTTCTATAAATTTAATAGATTAATATTTAATAAGCAAAAAATGTGTGTATTTGTAAAAATAAAAAGATATATAAAACATAATTAAAAGAAATAATTATTATACCATATGTCAATATGTAAAACAGAAAATAACTATAAAATACAAAATTAATTATAAATGTTTAGTTATATGTGTGAACTAGCAGTAAAATTTGTATATTTGCTATCGCTGCATTGCTGAAAAGTTAAAAGTAAGAAATTAAATAAATATTCTATACAAAATTAATATATATATATATGTGTGAAAATACAATATTCAATTTGATTTTATTTTATTTTTAAAACAATAGTCATATATTAATTTTTATATGTTTTTTTTCTTTATAATGGCGTAAATCAATAACAAAAAATATTTTTTTTAATGTGCAGTAATTGTTCGATAATTCAAATAAAAACTTTAAATATATATGAAACATATATGTAAAATTAATACTATAATGTCTATATATGTCTGAAAATTTTTAAAAATATTCAAAATTAATTTTTAGTTATTTAAAAAATATTACTTATCTTAATATTGTTAAGAAGATTATAATTATTATTTATTATTGATTCAAAAAAATTACAGAAGTACAGCTTAAAAATAAATTGACCATATGTCAATATATATGTTTATTATATATATATATATATATTAATATATATAAATAATAATATATATATATATAAAATATAGTATATATATTTATATATATGTATATATATTTATAATAATGTATATATTAAATTTTATAAATTGAATTATTTTTAGTTGGGACCGCATTCAACAGGAATTTTTATTTTTATTTTTATATTTTATTTTCGAATTTTTTAATTATGAAATTAAATCTGAGTAATAAGTGAGGTCTTTTTGCCGGTGCATATTTAAGACAAAACACAGTTGGTGCCGCCATTGCACGCAAGCTGCGTTGCTAATTAGTGTGCGGTAGTCTATATAAATCCAAGACTGGTGCTACCAAGGATTTATTGTTGGTGGTATGTACCGGGTTTGAACTACATAAAATATTAATAAAGTAACTTACAATTTAAACATTTTCTCATTTCTCATGTAATTTTAATTAAGTTTATTTTTATTAAAAATATTATTAAATTTAAACTAATTTTTATTCTTAATTTTTTTTACAATTTTTTTGTTATTTTAATTTATTTATATAATAAATTATTGAAGTTGATTATTGCACAGAAGATCACAGAAGTTGTATACCTAGATTATTATAATATCTTTAATATATATATATATATATATATATATATATATATATATACATGCATACATATATATGAATATATAAAAATAATACATACACATGAAATTTTGCAAATGTATATTTGTGTTGATACATGCTACTTAACACACCGTGTAATAATATATTGACATATTATTTAAAATGCACTTTATATATATACAAATATATATATAATGTCTATATATGTATGTATATCATGATCCAATCATTTGCAACTTAAAAAAAAAAGCGTAAATGAAAACATATTAAACATTTAAAAGAAAAAATTTATATATAATATGTATATAATTTCACATGATCTAAAGAATATATCTAAAACGAAAAATTGAATACGTCTTATGTACTGTATACATTGTGTAATAATATATGTCATATATATAGCAAAATACAATATATTTTTTAAATTAAAACGGCATACTAAAACACCACAGACATATTATAATATGAGATAACTATTAATATATAATATA